AATTTTAAAAAAATTAAATTAGTGTTTTTTCTATTAACCTGTAGTTATACTTTCTTTTAGTAAGTACCATGGAAATAAAGACATGCCTTCTTTTTTTATTTGGGTCTTATGTACATCAGTATTTTTACCATGTGCCAGATAATGCTAAGGTCTCTTAACACTGTAAATTAATTTATCTTTCTTCTGCTTTTTAAACAATGTTACTTATTTAAATCTACATATACTTAAAAACTCGGAAGAAATTATTATTATTTTCAGTATTCATTTAGATTAATTTGCATACCTTTTCAGCTGCTCTTCAATCCTTTCTGTATCTTTGGGATCATTTTCCTTTTACCTATACAATTCCCTCTAGTGTTTGTTTATAAGCAGTTCTGCTGGCGAAAAATTCTCAGTTTTATTTTATTTGAAGATGTCTTTACCTTCATATTTAATGATATTTTCAGTATTCATAGAATCCTAATTTGGACACTACTTCCTTTCATTGTCTTTTTGCTTTCATCATCTCTGCTGAGAAGTCAGAGATGTGCTTTTTCTGTGCTTTTTCAAGTTTTTCTATTTCATGTTTTTTAGGTTTTCATTATACTGTGATGTGACTAACTGTGGTTTTCTTTGTATTTATCGTACTTGAGGTGTACAGAATTTCTTGAATCTATGTCTTTATATTTCTACTCAGTTTTGAAAATTTCTTGGCTGTGATTTTTGCAAATATTGATTCTCTATTCTTTAATTCTGGGCTGCACTTCTACATATGTTACAACTTTTTACTGTGTCTCTTTTGCTTCTTATTTTCTTTTCTTATTTCCCATCCCATTTATTCTTAAGCTTTAGTCTAGATATTTCCTACTGACTTATCTCCTGTTTCAATAATATTTTTATTTTTTTAGTCAATGTCTAATCAATTGTTAAACATTCTATGAAATTTTTAATTTTAATTTTTGTATTTTCAGGTTTTAGAATTTCTATTAGGTTCTATTTTTATAGATTTAGGTTCTCTGGTGAAATTTTTCAATTTGTCTTCCATTTTCTTGATCAGATTGACCACAGTTATTTTTATTTTTATTTTTTTTGAGACAGAGTCTCACTTTGTGGCCCAGGCTAGAGTGAGTGCCATGGTGTCAGCCTAGCTTACAACAACCTCCAACTCCTGGGCTCAAGTGATCCTCCTGCCTCAGCCTCCTGAGTAGCTGGGACTACAGGCATGCACCACCATGCCCAGCTAATTTTTTCTGTATGTATATCAGTTGTCCAATTAATTTCTTTGTATTTATAGTAGAGACGGGTCTTGCTGTTGCTCAGGCTGGTTTCGAACTCCTGACCTTGAGCAATCCACCTGCCTCGGCCTCCCAGAGTGCTAGGATTACAGGCGTGAGCCACCGTGCCCAGCCAATCATAGTTATTTTAAATAACTCCAATAGATGGATCACCTATCAGGTGTTCTCAAACTACAGCCCGCGGGCCACATGCCGCCCGCCTAGGACATTTATCTGGCCCACTGGGTGTTTTTGCAGCCGCTGCCTGTCCTGCTTAGCAGCCGACTCATCCCGGGCCCACAGTGCGCACTCTCCAATGGTCTGAGGGACAGTGAACTGGACCCCTGTTTAAAAAGTTTGAGGATCCCTGACCTACCTATTAGAGAATCTTTTCCTATCTGTTAGCTACTTTTTTCCCTTTGGTGTGGGTTTGTAGTATGACTGGTACATTTTGGTAGAATATCAGACATTGGGTATAACAATGGTAAAGGCTTTAGGCTGTATCAACTTTTCCCAGGAAGTATTGTCCCTGTCCTCTGGCAGGCAGCTAGGAGCAGGGTCAGATCCCCTTTATTCATGCAGGACTAAACTGAGAGGGGCAGAGTGTGATCTCTGTAATGTTCAGCCTCTGATTCCTGCCCACCCCTCTGGAACCAGGGCTCCCAGATGAGAACCAGAGCTGTTTACTAAGGCATCTCCTAATTGGTGGCCCTGAACCTCAATGTTCCAGTATTAAGGCCAAAAACTCCGCCCAGCTTTTCAACTGCTTTTTGTTTTTATTCTAAACTGCTTGCCTTATACAGCATAAATATGAGGAAAATTGATGCAGTGTTTTTGGATCACTTCTCATCACCTCCGTTTTTGGGATAGGGTGTTATTTGGACATTCAACTCTTTGATGTTTTGATACCCTAAAATGCTAATTTTTGTCTCTACTCTCCTGAGGCTTCCTGTCCTTCTGATGGCTTGTCTGCCTCTTTGTAGCTGCCCTCTGTCCTACTTCTCATCCTCTCCCTCCATGATGCTTAAGAGTCATCGGTGCCTCGAGGGAGAAGTGGTGCATAAAAAGTCAGTCTCACCTCACTGCATGTCCCTGCTTTCAGGGATTTTTTGTTGTTGTTGTTCCTCAAGTCCTGGCTGCTCCCTGATGCTTTCAGACTTTTTGTCTGTGTTGTGTTCTATCCTGTTCTCCTAGTTAGACTCGGTGGGAACACTGGTCTGCCTGGAACTGCTCTATCTCAGCTGCACTTGAAAGTTTCATAATTTACTTTTTCTTCTGAATGCTTTCTCTCGCACCCTTTACATCCTATTTATGCTTCTGGTCCCTTGCAGTTTCTATTTTCTCCCTGTTGCCTACCCGGGAAGCTGGTTCTGCAGCACAGGCTGTACGTTCAAGATCACTGGTGTCCCCCACAGTTGTGCAATGTGACAGTCCTGTGGTTTACCGCACGGGGCCCAGCGTGATCTGGCTTCTTGCTCACATTCTCAGTGCCACTTTCTACCCTCTCATCATTGGAAAATATGCTCACAATCCAGAGTGAGCCAGGGAGGCCCTTGTTGGGGAGGCCCTTCTTAGCTCCTCAGCCAGGTCCTCTTAGTAAACTCTCATGAATGTCCTACGTTCCTTCTAGACGGCACTACTCACAAGTACACTTTTCCATTGATTTGTGGAAATGGCAGGGTAATTCCTCTCCAGAATGTGGACTGGACTGTGAAGATGGTGGCCTTGTCAATATTTTTTTTTTTTTACCACCATTCCAGTGGTATCCACCACAGTGCCCCTTACACACTTATTGAATTAAGTTGAGCCTTATAACAATGGAAGGTGAAAAGGAGGGAATGAAAACTAGCATTTGTTAAAATTTTACTGTTTATCTTCTTACTTCATTTCCACCATAAACTCTTGGAGGTGAGTGGTGTTTGCTCAGAGAAATGATGCCATTTCCCCCCAAACTCACACAGTTGATGAGTGCCAGATCTAGAATTTTTGGACCCATGCCTACCTGATTCAAAAGTAACCCTGACTATATGAATTTTTAAATACTTCTCACTCTTTCATGCCTTTTGTACCTTCTTCTTTTCTTTGCTGACTTTTCAATCTTTATTGAATACTCATAGGATGTTAGGTTACTGTCTTAGTCCATTTGGACTGCTATAACAAAATATCATAAACTGGGTGGCTTGTAAACAGCAGAAATTTATTTCTCGCAGTTCTGGGGGATGGGAAGTCCAAGATCAACGTGCTGGCAGATTCAATGTTTGGTAAGGGTTTGCTTTCTGGTTCTTAGATGATGCTTTCTTGCAGTGTGTTCTTGCATGGTAATAGGGGCAAGGCAGCTCTCTGGGGCTTTTTGATAAGGGCACTTCTCCCATAAGGGCTTTTTTTTTTTGAGACAGAGTCTCGCTTTGTTGCCTAGGCTAGAGTGAGTGCCATGGCGTCAGCCTAGCTCACAGCAACCTCAAACTCGTGGGCTCAAGCGATCCTTCTGTCTCAGCCTCCCAAATAGCTGGGACTACAGGCATGAGCCACCATGCCTGGCTAATTTTTTCTATATATATTAGTTGGCCAATTAGTTTCTTTCTATTTATAGTAGAGACGGGGTCTCGCTCTTGCTCAGGCTGGTTTCGAACTCCTGACCTCGAGCAATCCACCCGCCTCGGCCTCCCAGAGAGCTAGGATTACAGGCGTGAGCCACCGCGCCCGGCCCATGAGGGCTTTTTGATAAGGGTACTCTTGTATGACCCAGTCACCTCCCAAAGGCCACACCTCCTAGTACAATCATATTGGGGATTAGGTTTCACCATATGAATTTTTAGGGGACACAAATATTTGGATCACAGAAGATAGATCAAAGGATTTTACTCAGAAAAAAAAATAGGAAAAAAATAAAGAAGAAAAGCTAACTACTTTTTTCTGTTACCTCAAAACCAAAATGACATACATTTTATTTTTGGGTGGAAGAATTACGTGGGTCAATCCAGATTGGCATCTCAATTTCTTATTTCCCTCAAATGGTCCAGTTGAGGGGGACATTAGTTTGTTTAGTGAACATTTGCTAGCTTCAATTAAAAAAAGATACTTATACTCATAGCAATAGCTATTATTTATTGACTACCTACTTTGCACCATGTACCAAGCTGGGCACTTTATCACATTGACTGCCACACGAGAAAAAACATTTTTTTTTCCTCTTGGTGCCACAGTGTTTTATTATGAAAATAGAATAAAAACTTTGAAAATAAGATGATCCTTTCTAATTTAATGAAAAATTTATTATTTTTTATTGTTCTCTGTGTGTGAGTTAAATGCAATTTGAAAAATAGTTCACGTGTCTCCCAAGGTAAAGAGATGTGTGAGTTACATATGCTTCATGAGGTCCTGGGTTCAAAGCTATCATGAGTTAAATACAACTCACATGGAAGTTAATGGGTTATATACCTTATCTTTAATCATTAGAGGACCCCTGGGAAGTAGATACTATTATTTTTATTGTACAGATTTGTAAATTGAGACTCAAAAAAGCGAAATAACTTGCCTTAGGAAGGTTCAGATACAGAATTCAAACCCCTTTATGGACTGCCACGAGGACTGTTTATTTCTACATACATTGCTTAAGGCATCAAGCCCGGAGCACAGAAAGTGCTTAATAAATGTTGTTTGTTTTTTTTCTGGATTAATGATAACATAGTGAACTTCCCAGGAAAGAGTTGCAAAGTAATGTAATGAGGCTTCTTTGTGTCTTGCCAGGTAATGTGAATAGTTGCTCCAGGTTGACACGTTGGAAAACCCCAAAAGTTCTGAGTCCCTGCAGCTCCCAAGCGGCAGGTAAGGATCACGCCAGTCGCAATTGCAGGCTCTACTCTGCTATTTGCTCCAAATATTTTCTGATTGCAAATATTATTGATCTGACAGTTTATTTCCCGAGACGCATTAGTTCCAAACTGCTGTGATATGAAAGCCTCATCCTAAGGAAATTGGCCTTGTGAATGGTGATCCGCTGGGAATAGGACGTGGTACTTATGGCTGTACTAATCTGAGCAAGAAGCAGTAAATACAATTAGTGAGCTTGCTTGGTGATTTTCCAATAATGATGTTTGGGGCATATTATTGGTTTAGCTGTAATTGAGCTTAAGATGCTCTGGAAATGTCTAAACTGGTGTGAAAGTCAATCACGGCTTTGGCTCCAGTATGGATGTTCATGGACCGGGTGGCTTGATGACATTTGGATGTGCAGGGACACGAGGGGATATGTGTCCGGATGGCCATCGTTTGTCTCTTAAATACCATTTCTTTTTGCTCTGTCATTAATAAGGTGATGACTTCTTCACAATCTTCTATCCTCTCCCAAATCCCACTCCGTTGTTGTCATTTGGAGCTTACTACATGGTGTCTAGCTCTTATTCTCATGCAAGCATAATTCACATGATGTATGCTCAAGTCGCCTTTATTAGTGAGCATGATCCACACTAGCTGCCACAACAAAGACCTGGAATCTCAGTGGTGAAACAGCATGAACGTTTATTTTTTGCTCACAGAAAGTGTGATGCGGTTCAGATCCAAGTTCCTTCTATATCGTGGTGCCATGATCTCAACACGTATCTGTCGGGAGACAATTCTCCCTGGATTTCTTGTGTTCTTGTACAGTCTAGGCCTTCCCAGATCAAGGGCATTGGTGAATTTTGTTCAGGTATGATTGAAGAACAAACAGAAAATAGGGAATCTCTTCCTCCTTGGAGACATTTCAGGATAACAAGATCCCTTCCTCTTGCACAGGCTGTCTGCATACATTCTAGTGTAGAATGTAAGAACCTACAGATAGACTTCTTCCCCTCCCCTGTTCCAGAGGCATTGGCTTACCCTACAGGGTACTGAGTCCTCTGCCTCCATGGGAGGATGGCCAGGCCACTTGCAGCTTCACAGAAACTCAGAGTCTCCTAAATGCCGTGTTCTCCTGGGGTGTGATTCACGGTGAGCAAAGGTGAGCTTCGTGTTGCCTGGAGGAGCTCGGGGCGTGGGGAGCTGGTGTTCCCCCTGACCTTGCTGTTGTGATCCATACACAGTCTGTGTTCCTAACTTGGGAGTCTGGTTTAGTTAGTGTGTGTCGTGTAAAGGTGTGTGCATGTGCAGTGTGCATGCGTTTGTGTGGTGTATGTGGTGTGTGTGATGTGCACGTGTGTGTGGTATGTGTATGTGGTACATGGTATGTGTATGTGTGTGTTTGGTTTATATGTGTATATGTGAGATATTTGTGTATATTTTGTGTATGGTGTGTGTGGTTATGTGGTATATGCATGTGTGTGTGTGATGCACGTGTGTGTTGTGTGTGTGATGCATGTGTGTTTGCTTTGTGAATGTGTGTGACGTTTGTGTATGTTTGGGGTGTGGTATGTGTATGTGCATGTGCATGTGTGTGGTATGTTTGTGTTGTGTGTGATGTATGTATGTGTGTGTGTGTGTGTGTGTGTGTGTAAACTTTAGTAGGCTAACTTGTTGGCTTGCAGGAGGGTAAGATTTCAGACCTTTCATAGTTTCAGATATAACGATTGCTTCCAAGTTTCCGTGGCAGAGGGACAGAGGGCGGGAGAGGTGCTCTGACCCTCAAGAACCTTGGCCCGGAAGTGACGTGCATTCCCATTGGCCAGAACCCAGGCACTTGGGGCCACCACTGACCCGGGAGTGTGCAGAGAAGCACTTGCACACCCTGTGAGTATTGACTGTCTCTGCCACATCGCCTAACCCCCTTCATGTCTTGTTTAGTGAGTGTGTCCCTTTGCGAAAGAGGGTCAACTTAAATCACGGTGACACACATCTGATCAATAACAGTAAATCGTGATAATAAGATGATGATCTCACATCTGCTTGCCTTTGCACTGTAGGTTGATAGATAAAAGCAGTCTAAGTGCTTTGCTTGTGTGGACTCCGTCCTCACAACAACCCAGTGAGGAAGGTGACATACTTGTCACCATCCTACAGGTGAGGAAGTGTCCCGAGAGGTCAAGTGACTTGCTCGGGCAGCTTATGTGGGGCCGAGAAAGGGCTAGAACTCTGGACTGGGTCCAAGTTTCCGGTTTTAGCTGCCACACTATACTGCCTCAGTAAGTGCCATGTAAATGTTAGATACTAGATTATGCCATCTCTGTCCAGTTTTCCCCTTTTCTGACATATCACATGACATGCCCAGGGTGAGGGCCTATGGGATTGGTGGGAGATAGAACAGGCGGTTGTATTTGCTGAGGTGAAGGACACATTATCTAGAATAGTAGTTCTCATCTGGGGGTGATTTTGTCTCGTAAGGGACATTTGGCATTTTTGGTTGCCACACCTGGGAATGAGGGTATCATTGGCATTTAGTAGACATAGACCAGGGACGCTGCTCAGCACCCTACAGTGAACAGGACAGTCCCCAACCCAAAGAATTACTGGGCTTCCCAGATGTTAACAGCAATGAGATTGAGAAATACTGGCCAAGAAATAAACTTGCATAAGGACTGTTCGTACATGACTTTTCATTATAATGGCTCTAGAAACATTATATTACTTTCCAGACAATGGCTCTTTTTTCTCTGATTCCACAGAATGACACTTTGGTCCCCAAATGCCAAAGGAATGTGGCATAAGGAGTGATATTTTGACATTCTAATTTTAGGCAAAGACATGCTCACCGATGTACACACAACAGTTTATAGTCAGAGAATATCCTGTGGAACAGATTCGAACCATGTGCATGTTTAGACGAATCTAAAACCTTTTGCTTTGCATACACAGGACCAGGGCAAGACACGAACAGAGAACATCTTCTATGATGCATTTAGACTACTGGGTGCATGTGCTATTTCTATGTGCTGTCGAGTGGCGAGCTCTCTCCCTTTTTAGCCCTTAGTTTGTCCTGAAGGTGTTTTATTTATTTATTTTTTTACTTATTTATTTTTAATGCCAGGGCCTTGCAAACTTCTTCTGTAAAGGGCCAGATTGTAAATGTTTCGGGCTTTGTAAGCCGGGCGGTCTCTGTTGCAATTACTCAGCCCTGCTGTTGCAGGTCTAATTTGACCCATGAGCTGGAGTTTGCCAACCCCTCCTCTATGCTATATATTTTGAGATGCAGCTTGAGCATAAGATAAGCATGAACCCTCAAAAGGTTGAAAAGTTGATAAAGAAAGTAGTCCAGAAATTGTGTTCTTTTCTGCCAACCTCCACCCACCACCATCAAGTCCTCTGTTCCTCCTTTGGCAAGTTCATAAACTCTCATCACGTTACAATTTACGTGCAAATTGCATTTATTTACTCTCAGATTATTGTTTATTACTTATATAAGCTCATTCTCATCGTTCAATGGGCACATTTTTCTATCTGTGAGAATTGTTTTGAGTGTCTTGGGTTGAGAGGGAGTGCATCATAATTTCTTCCCTAAAAATGAATAAGACGTGTATGTTTTCATATAACAGCTTTTTCACCTGGGCTAGGCAGAAGTCTACAGCTTGGCAAACATATGGCGGGCTTTCACTGTCAGAGAGGATAAAAGTTGCTAAGCAAGGGAGAGATGTACAGGAAAGAGCTGTGTTCTGGTTCTGAGAGCCCACTGCCATCACCAAGCAGATTTATCTCTGGTTCAGGGGTCTCATTTTCTTTGATAATTCAAATAGGGCAGTGCCAGATTCTTCTCACTCCGTGCTGTTATCCAATGTTGTAAACATACATCCTTCCCCCTTTTGCAAGGGGCCATAATGGGTCCTAAGCGAAGCAGTTCTAGATTGCAACAGAGAACTATATTAATAGCGTAATTTATGGGTAAAGAAAGGGCCAGTTGCAGGTCGGCTCATGGTGAAGGGACATACTTGAAAGTTTCCTCTCTGAGTTATTAGACCTCATGAAAATTAATACTCAGCTGCGATATAACTATCGATATAGTTCTTCAACAATGAAAGTGCTGGGAATTTGTGAATATGGCAAATCCATTATTTAAAGGATGTCTATGTCAAATCATAAAATGCAAACGATTTCTTAGTAAGCTCATTCAAGTCCACCACACATATTTTTTTTTTTGCATGCCCAGTTCATGCTGAGCTCTAGGAACCCATTGCCTCTGAGTGATACACTGTTGCTGCCTCCAAGAAGCCCATAGTGTAGTGGAGAACTCCTTGCTTTAAGTACCATGCAGAGTCAAATTCCTTACGTGAGGCTAGGACACGGGAGACACGTCTGTTCTTAAATCTATCCTGATTCCTGCAATATGCTCATTATCACCTGCCTAATTTATTCTGGAAATATTCCTTTCATTTTCCAGCCGTGTTCTTTTCTTTCTTTCTACTTCCTTGGGATCTGTAAGCTCCTTAATAATTAAATAAGGGCTACACTAGTCAAGACCTTTAGTGGCAAGTGACAGAAACCAACTCAAGCTGGCTCAGGCCACAAAAGGGGCTGTTGAGTGACTTATCCAAGTGAACTGTCACAGGGAGTAGGTCTTGCTTCAGGCTTAGGAGATGACACCAGGACCCAGTCTCCTGCTTTCCACGTCTTCTTTATGTTTTCTTTTCTTTTCACCTTTTCCATACAGGGACCCCAGTGATACCATTCTGCATTCTACCCGATCGTGCAGATGAAGTTTTCTGGACTTATGTTTTTTAAATCTGAAGTCCAGATTGAATCAATCACCCTGACTAGGAGGAGGGGGATATTTTGGCCAGATCTAAGTCACAGATTGCTGTGGGCTGAGTTGTGTCCCCCTCAAAATTCACACGTTGAAGCCTTAACCTCCAGGACCGCAGAATGTGACTGTATTTGGAGACAGAGTCTTTAAAGTGGTAGTTAAGGTTAAATAAGGTCATATG